ATGCTAACAAATATTTATTAGGAATCAGTTTTAAAAAAATGAACTAGTAATTACACAAAAAGCCAAAGTACGGGGCGGAAAGAAATAAAAGAAATGGCGAAGGAAATCATAAGTAATATCCGCATAGGGAAAATTACTCCTTTAAAGAAGAGAAACTATAAGTATTCTTGGGGCCGAATTGAGGTAGACAAATGTATGTAAATTCTACAGTTCTTAAGAATATTTACACATACTTTGAGTAATTTTTACATTGGTTTGTTCAAGCAAACATGGCCTGTGAAGGAGAACTGAAAATCCCGAATGCTACAAACAGAAATTGCAAATATAATTAGTTGCCTATATTGATTTAAAAAGAAGACTTATTTTCATACTGGAGTCAAAATTCAGCTTAGGTATAAGAACAGGTTTACAACTGTAATTTTAGGAATATATGAGATAGAAAAACCTTTTAAAAAAATGCTTATGCTATTTAAAAAAAATAATTATATTCTGCCTTTTTAAATGCATTTAATGATGTCAAATATTAGCAATGTAGTACATATCTGAAGAACTTTGCTCTTACGAACGTAGTTTTCTAAAGCCGAGAATTGCAGCTAAAATCTACTTTTCCTCAAAGCGAAATGTTCATTTTGCATTGCAAAACTTTAATTTTATTGGTTACTAAGTAAGAGATTATTTGTTCTTCAACTTATTTCAAGAGTATTATAAGCATATGGCTGAAAATTCTTTACGTCGTGTTAGAAAATATTGCAATATTTATTAGTTAAGTAATTGCAGAATTGATCCATTAAGATTTTAGCGGTTTTCATGAAATAATCGAATTAATAATCGGTTTGAAAAAATACGTATTTTTTAACTTCTCGAGAAATATTTTTCATGTCTTACATTAAATATAGGTAATGAAAAGAAATTAGCAAAGACAAGGTATATATATATTATATATATTAGCGTTTCAAAACCTTGTTTACGTATGATTTTAATCAGCATTTTTTAGCCTGGTCGTTTTACGTGAGAAAGCTATAATATTGGGTACAAGCTTCAAATTTCGCAATGTATTAAGGACGTGTGAGGAGAAATTTTATCCAAATTATAGGTAATGTTCCAGAAAAGTTCTGAGAAGTTAAAATACTCTAACAAAATAGGAAAAATAGTATTTTTTTACGTCAAAAGAAGCTTTAAGCTCGCAAATGCTCTCCACGGATAGTAAAAATCTTTCAACAACTGAAAACGAAATTAACTTATATTAAAAACTAAATGTTTACAATAAATATTTTTTCACTTTTTTAATAAATGCCCATCTCAAAATCAAACCAAATGAAAAAAAAAAAAATTCCTGCTAAAAATACATACGATTTAAATAAATACACAACTTACTTAAAACGATTAAAAGTAATAACTGTAATGCTTAAACGATCAAATTCAAAACCATCTTACTTTTATTTTTGTTTGTTTAATTCCATGAGCTAAGTCTCAAATATCACAAAAAATACTATAACTGAACATTTGTATAAATTTTTTAAGGAGGTAACATCAAAATTCTATTATAGTTTTTCCAAGAACAGGCTTCTTTTTATTAAATCCCTGATTCATCTCTTTTGAAACTTCAAAACTTATTTCAAGATTGCAGTTTTCCGTCTGTCGTTGCCGAATTGGCACTTGAGCAAGCAAAGAACTGAAATGCGGATTCCTTGCAAATGTAAATTCATATTTTGTACCTCCAATTAAAAAGAATAACAATTAAGACCAATAATAATTAAATCACACTGCAATATATATACATATATATATGCTTTTGATATAACATATTTGTTGACACGACCTGGTGGTGCACCTGTACTTATTTGCACTCTATTTAAATTTAGATGAGTATCTAATGAGTTTTTAAAAGTATTCGTATCTCTTACCTCACCAATCCTTGAGTAAGCTGCAGTTTAAAGGAAAGAAAATATTTTCCGATTTAAAAAAAAAAAAGTTTGAATTGGGTTTCTCTTTTCAGATGAAAGGAAATTATGGTCATATTGACTATGTAAACAAACAAAAAAAAAAAAAAAAAAAAAGAGAAACACAACTGGTAGCAATCATTTTCTGTACAAATCCAAAAGCCCCCTTCACAAAGTAATTTTCTTGTTTGCATACAAATGCAATAAAACATATATAGTAAAATGCATTCTAAAAGGTTATCTTTTTTGTTTCTCAGTCATTTTACAAAGCAGTAATTAAAAACAAATAGTGATATAAATAAAGTAATATTTTCTGGGTAAGTGTGCCAAAAAGTGAATATCAATTACAAAGGAGTGTTTGGAGAAGAGGACGTTTGTTAAATATGTTAGCTAGCGTTGATAAAGCAAGTTATAATTACAAATAATTTACAGACTTCTCTCAATTTTGTAAAATAACTATTATTAAACACTGAAAACCAGATAATAGCCCATAGTATTAACAAATTTTACCACTCAAGATTTTAATTTACATTTAATAAAATGTTAAATTACAATAACATCTCAGAAATTCGAAGATAAAGCCTGTTCTTAAATCAATGAGATTTGAGATGTATTGAATTAAAAACAAAAAATATCTTCAATAAAATCTGAGTTCGAAAAAGAAACTTTCTCTCAAAAGACTTGCAGAAATAAAATTTCGAAATTTCAGCATCTATATTCACACAGAAACATCTCAGCAGCATTCTATTTATAAAAATGTATTTTCCTTATCTAAAAATGTATTTTGTGTTTGATAGAAGAAAACTATCTTAATTCGAGTACATGAAAAGCACGCGATATAGATTAAACGATGAATAATTATAAATGGTTTTACTAAGTTGGGTAAAAATTATAATACTTTGTACTGAAATATTATATACATATATATCATTATTATTTATTTATTAGCATACAATCATTTTAATTGAGTTGAAAAAAGGTAACTTATTGCAAATAATTAATACTAAATCTTTCAAACTATGCACGCACACATTCGCGTGCACCTTTCGAATCATGAATTAATAGTATGTTTATTTATATATATATATACATTTTGAAGGCAGATTGCCGTTATAAAACTATTTATAAGGCGCAAAAAGGAATATGTAATTTCTCATTTCTTAAAAAAATCTGAAGTTATTCTTTTTTTTCCCTAAGTATCCTTATAATACTACAGTACATTTAAAACGTTCTAATAAATTTTTTTGAACATTTTACACTTGCAGCAATTACGACTTCAGTCTTTTAGGTCAGTTTGCGGAGGGAATAAATTGTTTATCATGCATTTTGGCTCTATTGTTTAAATATCGTTTCCCGTTTTAATTTATTGAAGCTATACATTCCAGAATTTCAGATACAAAAAAATGCTAAAAAATTAGAAGTGATTATTAAAAATACTCTTATACGTAATGGAAATCTTTATAAGTACTTCACACCTGTTCTATTCCGCCTCGCCTCCACATTATATATGAGCAAACAAGGAACCAAAAAAGCCAGAAGCTTTAGAAAAATTTTTATGAATACTTACCTATAGTGATATAGTCACAAAACAATACAACATTCCTCTAATTTATGCTTAATATGAAATAATTAAAGATTTTTTTCCTTTCATAGTTGAAGTTAAGCTATACTTACTAGTTCTAAAATAAGATTTAAATGTTATAAATGGGCAAATATAGAGATGTTAGTTACCGTCACAATATAATTATTGACATCATTAGTTATTACTTAACGTGTCCTTATCAATAATCCTCCTACCAACAGAAAAGGGGCATATTCTGCAAAGTGAAGCGTTTAATTTATAGACAATATTAAAATAACTTCATAATGTATTTTGTGTATTTTGTGTTTGATAAAATGTATTTTGTGTTTGATAGAAGAAAACTATCTTAATTCGAGTACATGAAAAGCACGCGATATAGATTAAACGATGAATAATTATAAATGGTTTTACTAAGTTGGGTAAAAATTATAATACTTTGTACTGAAATATTATATATACATATATATCATTATTATTTATTTATTAGCATACAATCATTTTAATTGAGTTGAAAAAAGGTAACTTATTGCAAATAATTAATACTAAATCTTTCAAACTATGCACGCACACATTCGCGTGCACCTTTCGAATCATGAATTAATAGTATGTTTATTTATATATATATATACATTTTGAAGGCAGATTGCCGTTATAAAACTATTTATAAGGCGCAAAAAGGAATATGTAATTTCTCATTTCTTAAAAAAATCTGAAGTTATTTCTTTTTCCCTAAGTATCCTTATAATACTACAGTACATTTAAAACGTTCTAATAAATTTTTTTGAACATTTTACACTTGCAGCAATTACGACTTCAGTCTTTTAGGTCAGTTTGCGGAGGGAATAAATTGTTTATCATGCATTTTGGCTCTATTGTTTAAATATCGTTTTCCCGTTTTAATTTATTGAAGCTATACATTCCAGAATTTCAGATACAAAAAAATGCTAAAAAATTAGAAGTGATTATTAAAAATACTCTTATACGTAATGGAAATCTTTATAAGTACTTCACACCTGTTCTATTCCGCCTCGCCTCCACATTATATATGAGCAAACAAGGAACCAAAAAGCCAGAAGCTTTAGAAAAGAAAATTTTTTATGAATACTTACCTATAGTGATATAGTCACAAAACAATACAACATTCCTCTAATTTATGCTTAATATGAAATAATTAAAGATTTTTTTTCCTTTCATAGTTGAAGTTAAGCTATACTTACTAGTTCTAAAATAAGATTTAAATGTTATAAATGGGCAAATATAGAGATGTTAGTTACCGTCACAATATAATTATTGACATCATTAGTTATTACTTAACGTGTCCTTATCAATAATCCTCCTACCAACAGAAAAGGGGCATATTCTGCAAAGTGAAGCGTTTAATTTATAGACAATATTAAAATAACTTCATAATGTTAAAAATGTTTTCCAGTAATTACTTTGTTGAAAGCACCATGTTAAAAGCAAAGACAAAAACTATATAAAAAATAAAGCTATATTACATACTATAAACAAATATGACTTCAACAAGAAATATATTTACACTTCATGAAAAAACAGTTCATTCAATTCAAAAGTTCATTCATTCAGATGAAATTGTTTTATGATAAAGTTCTGAAAAACAGTTAACTCTGCATGGAATATAAATATGCTTGAGAACAGATGACATGAAAGTCACAGTTTTAATGGACACTAGTTGCAGACAAAACTTTCATTTCAAAGGTTTTTAGGAAAAAGGTACATCACGCTTCTGTTAATGTCTTACTATCTTGTTAGTATAGCACGAAAAGCACCGGGAATTTACCCGAACACATTCACAACTGTGACTATTATCTAAACAATTGTCATTTTGTGTTGCAAACCATTTAATAGAAGTACATGATTTGGCGATTTGTAGATTGAAACTTCTTGGTGCTGGGAACAAAATTTGCTTTGCAAATTTTCCTGCTTAGTTTTTGATGTGTACAACCACACTCCTGTTGTTATGCCTACAACTAGGGACATGAATATCTTGAGGGTGAAAATTTCAACGTTAGGTCTATAAATTGAAGTAGCTGATTCCCATTGATCTTTAGTGGTAAATTCGTAAAAGTTAACAATAAGCACACAGGTTGTAGGAACAGTGTATAAAATCGCAAATATACCTACGCGAACCATAAGAACTTCCCATTTTTCTTCTATGGTTCTGATTTTAGTTCGTAGATTTTTGTTCTTGAAAATAGCAGAACCACAAGCTGTTAGGAATATAATCCCTACAGCCAAATAAGTGAAGGATGGCACTATCACAAATCGCAGCATAGCTTGACGATTGTGGTTACCAACGTAACAGGTACCAGTAAGTTCATCTGCATCAACATCACGCAATACTAATATGGAGATTGTTTTTATCGCTGGTAAAATCCATGCCAAAAGATGGAAGTATGTACCGAAGCGTTCCAGTATTTCTGTACTCCATCTAAGTCCAGCAGTCAAAAACCAACAAAGAGTGAGGATAACCCACCATATGGAGCTTGCCATTCCAAAGAAATACAACAAGGTGAAAACAACTGTGCAGTTTATGTTGTCAAGACCGCCTAGTATGAGAAGAGGCTCACCATAATACGTATCATGGTGACATGCCATATCATCCCTTCCACCGATAAGACGGATGAAGAAAGCAATACTATAGATGAAATAGCACCAACTAAGAATGACGATTATTCTTTCTGGATACCTAAATTGAGCACTGTCTGTGAAAAATTTAACTATCGTGAACAAAGTAGATATGAAGCACATGCAGGACCAAATAGCGACCCAGATTTTTGCAAATTCCTTATTTTCTTTCGAATAAAGAATATCGGCGTGACAAGCAGGCGCACAACGTCGTGTGCTGTTGATGTAATAATATCTGTCAGAAGAACGTAAGTGTTTACACATATTGCGACTTAAGCTGCGGATAGAGGCTACATTGTGTTGAGATCTGGGATGGCTAACAGAGTTCCCAGTTCCTTTTTGAATCCCTGGTCGTATGGGATTTCTATCACGAAAAGGAATATGTTTCCGTTCCTCATGCTCAGGACCTTCCATACACATATGCTTCTCGTTGTTTGTTGGAGGAAACTGACTACAATTAAGAACTGGAGGCCACTGAAATCCAAATTCAAGAAGCACTGGTTCACAGAGTTCTTGCACAGATTCACATAGGGGTCTACATGGTCCGATGGGTTGCGCTACTTTCTCGGTACACATTGGAACATATACCGAACACAGGAAAAATCTAAGTCTCGACGAACATCCATACTGGATCAAAGGTGTAAACGTCTCAAGCTGTGATTGAGCGTCTTGTTGCAATTCGTGTCCTGCAAAGTTCGGCATTCCAGTGACATTATATCCAGTATCTTTGCAAAGATCAGTTCGAATCGGTTCACATGTTCTGGTAATTTCAATATCCGCAGTACAAAGTACTGCTAAGATTTGGAACAGTATAAATGAAAGCGTTAGAAGCAGCATTATCATTCAGTATCAGAGTTCCTAGTTGCTCACAAGTTAGAGCGCATCTAAATTCTTAACGAGCTGGGCAGTTCTATTTATTTGCTAACATTCTAAGCCGCGATCCTGCAGCGGACTGGCAACCGCTTGGACGAACTACAAACATTTATCTTCCCGTTGAACAAACATTCATGCCACTCGTCGAGCTACTGCTCCCCGCCAGGGTTACAAGCATCAGAAGGACGAAATGTTTCTCGCCAATCGCGCCAATCATTTTCCCAGTCCATAGCGGCAAGCGAATGCGGGCGGGAAATTTTGACAGCTCCCTCATGTCGAATCTTTTTCAACTTCTCTTAGCAGTTTCTACATCGCGTTTATCAGTTCAATGCCGACTGATAATGCGTTAATAACTGCAGCACTGAGGTGTCTCATTTAATTGTAGCCTTTTTCTAATATTCTATAAAATTTCCGTTTAAATTTGAAAGCAACACGAACATAATTAGCTATCAGTTGTTAATTTAAATCCTCATTTTGCTTCACAACAAGCTAATGAGTTTTAAGAACTATTTTACAGTATGATGCAAAAGTTCTGCAGTTTTCAGTCACTCCGTGTTCTTCAATGTCAAGGGATGGGGCGGATTGAAGTCTAATGCCCGAGGAAGATTATAACATTAAAAATATAAGAAAATATACAAGTATTTCGCTTTTGTTCTCAGGTAAAAGCAATATGCTCTGTTGCTAATTAACAGAACTAAATCCTTGCTGTAGATTTAAATCTCAATTCATGAGGCATTTCGGTTCTTAAAGTCCAGTATTGACTTCTACATATGTTTCGAAAATAAAATGGTATAATCAGAGATATATTAAAAAAGGGCATCACCGTTCCTACAAAAGAAACGGATACATAAATAAAAGCTCTCAATCAATGCATTAATATACAATATAATCATAAACATTAGATTTTTTTGTGGAGTGCGAATGATTTTGTGTTCACTTAAATAGTGTTAGACATTTTGCTATCGACCTATTACACGGTTTGCAAAATAATTTTATTTATCACACTCGTTGCATAAAATAGCACTTGTTGAAAAATTTTGCTAAGAAGTCCTTAAAAAATGATTCATTTAAGCTGATGAGAACTGCAGGTTTATAACGTTAATGATAAATGAAAGATCATATGCATCGTCGATTGGCAATAACGTATGTCTGTTAACAACGGATATAATTTTACAGCGAACTGAAAACTATAACACTTTATCGTGGTATTACAAAATGCATTGCCGTTTTTGCTGCAGTCATTAAAATCAGGACTTTATCGTTAAACCGGGATTTTCGAAAATAAATAACAAAATAAGTGATAAACGTTTGGCAAAAAAATTTTTTCTCATATCCTTCCTTTAATTATTATTATATTTATTTATTTTTATTTTTAGTGATTTATTTATATTTTTGCTTGTGTGAAAAATGAATGTTCAAACAATGAATTTAGTTTTATGATAACAGAAAATGTTGTTGCATAATTTCTAAGCATCGGTACTAGACTGTAAATTAAATTTATGGAAATTTTAAACATTCTTCTGGCGTAGCATATATTTCTTTCTATTTCGTTCCTGTCTAAAACTTGTTATTGACAGAAAATTATGCAAATCATGTTACATTTCAAAGAAAAAAATTTAATTTTTTACATTTAATATATATAAGAGAAGAATATTACGAATTCCTTTTTCCTTAAAACTGATCATTAAGAGTTATTAACAGAACAGCTTATTAAAAGAAACCTTTATTGGTATCCTAGATAAAATTTAAACTTCGTTGTTTTTATTAGTAAATGCCATATAACCGTTATTGTTATGGCCTGAAAGCTTAATTTTACTTGATTCATCTCTTAAATCAGAATTACTGCCCTACGACCAATCATTCAAGAAACAGGTAGTCCTGCAACCTGCTTGAAGTGGCTTGTATAATATATGAAACCAACGTTAATCTAAAGTTGAAGTTTATGTCATAACACGTAACCTAATTCTGAGGCTTCATTTTGGAATGATTTGTCAATTTTTAATTCATAAATAACAGCATCTTCCTACTTGAAAAACATAAAACACGAAATGCTGGTAAATTTTCTATCTATTTAGAGTATTTTTGTCTATTTAGACTTTTAAAACTATTTAGACTTGTTTACAGTTACAAACACCGTGCGTATATTTGCACATATTTGACTTTCTTGTTCGTTATCAGTTAATATAATTTTTTTAGTCATCTGTGGCGCATGCATGAATATTTAATCCTTACTCAAACTATGGCAAAGAACACTAGAGCTTACATTCAGCACTTCTTCATTTTCTATAAAAATATTATTTAGTCGGATCACTCGTAGTCTTTATTTGTTTTGTTGCATTACTTTATTGTTTTGAAACAATTAGCCGAGGCTCTTTTATAAGGGAGATAATATGATGACTTATTGATTCCGCGATTCCTGTTTTCCCAATCACTAAAATCTTTTCTGCTTCGGCAAAATCATCAATTTTCATTACAACCTCTTCTCATAGGGAGGTACTTAAGGGAAACCACAGGACCTTGGCCTTTCTAGAAAGGCGACTAAAGACAAAAAATGTTTAATGACGGCGGGATGGGAGGGAAAATTTTAAAAAAAAATTGATGAAAAATCTCCATGCCTTCAGAATCTTTGTCTCAATGAAGTCAATCGTGCATGCAAAATAGGAGAAAGATTACGAGACTCTGTGAAAATTTTGATAATAGACGAAAAAATGGTTTCATAATTAAAAAAAAGAGAGAGGGGGGGGGAAGAGAGAAAAGATAAAAAACGAATGTGATGGATTCTTCTGAAATTCCGCCTTAAGGCGAGCTATAAAGTAATCTTTCAGAGTTGCTTCATTATGCAGTAATAGTCCTTGAGAAAAGAACTGTGGATTAGCGAAAATAACCCCAAAATTACCAATAATACCACGCACCACTTAACAAGGTTTCTTTTACAAGCATATTCATTCTTTTGACTATTCTGTCCATTCCTACTGCTGAACCAAATGAAGTCTTTTTCCAATCTTAAACAGAAATATAACATTTAATTTTCAATTGAATGGGCTTACTTTGTTTGTACTGGAGCATCCAAATAAAGGGGAAACAAATTATTATTATCATTATTTGTTAATCCCTAAGAAATCTTGATTCTGTTTTGTATTAGAAAAACCAATTTAAACAAATAAACATATAATTAAAACAATAAGCAATTAACTTTCAATATAGTTTCAAAACTTTAGTTCAAGATATCATTACAGAATAATTTAAAATATTTTGCTTATTGGAAAACTGTAACATAGAAGTTCCCTAAGTATGAAGCAAGAACGCCCAAGTAGTGGGTCATAAGTAATTTCCGACTCATTTTCAAGCCATTGATCAACAAAGCAATTAACTTTTTTTTTTTCTACTCTTGCGTCAGACGGTAATTTTTTTTTTAATAGAAAACCAACAGCCATTATCGACAGATTCTGTAAGTATGCATGCAAAGGACGGGCACATTCAGAGGTGAATTCTAAATTTTTCATGATGTCTATGCTCGTTAATAAGTCCCAAGTCTTGTATTTTTCTCTAGCAATATTTTATTTTCATAGAAAAAGGAAAAAAAGGGCTTATAAGGTATTTTTCCTGTCCTTCCAGCATGCCTTGGTGCTGCCAACGGTCGCGCACTCGACACGTATTCGAGAGGTCCAAGTTCGAGTCCCGGCGAAGGCATTGCTCATTTTTCACGTCTCCAGCATAAAAAAAAAACCTAACGTCCCTACGAGCTTCTTTTAGCATAATTATAACTGCAACTTCAAAATCATCAATTCAAAATTGAATCTTTAGAATCCCAGTCAATAATATCACTTTTAATCGAATAAGATAATCTTTCATAAATCTGCTTGCAGTAAACAAAACAGCCCAGGAATAACATACATTTTATTAGAGATTAGCACAAATACTGAGGTAATGTAAATTTGAACAACTCTTGAAAATTAAGTTCATGAAAAAGGTTTTGTGGCTTTTCATTTCTTCCCTTCACTTTTTACTTCAAAAATCCAAGTTCAGCTATCTTTTAAATAATCAAATGGCTAAAAGCTAAAATTACTTGTCAATACTAATAAGCCGTATGGAATCTCTAAATTTCTTATAAAAGTAGCTTTTCGAGCGTATCCTTAGACATTTTGTTTAGAACTGCACAGAGCAGTTTTAGCGCTTGAAAACAGTGAAATATTAGTCTATATATAAAAGCCATGATTATACAATTTTCCTACTTCTTCGTTCTAAATCTGGGAGACAGGAATATTGTATCTTACATTTTTGAATTTTTTTTCCTTTTTAACTAAAGAATTAGTTGTATCAGGATGACATGAAATTTTTCTTCCAAAATGATCTAAAGTACAACCTTACAGTTTTTAGTTGTTTCGTTCTCGTAAATTCGATAAATTACATTTTTCTTATTTCTGTGACGGATTCGATGTTGCAAATCGTTGTAAAGGGCTATTTTTTTTTTTTTTTTTTTTTTTTTTTTTTTTTTTTTTTTTTTTTTTTTTTTCTTTTAATCTCGATGACAACAAATCAGCCATGTTCACTCAAACAAGAAATGAAAATAATAGTAATAAGATCTTAATTGTTAAAAAATTACAAATAAAATGCAACTGAAGAGATCCTTAGTGATTCATCGTGTCATCTCTTGCGAAATGTATTGCGCGTGAGGGGGACGCAGTACTGAATTCACTATATCAAACAAGAGAAACAAGCAACAAGAACAAAAGAGATTCGAACAAGAGAAATTTTTAAAACAGATGTCACGTAAACAGAATTAATTCTGATAAGCGTAGAAAGACGCGGTTTGTACGATTTACTGTTACATAAATCGTTACATACAGTAGGTACATAAAATAAACCATTTAAGATTTGAGCGATATTTCATTTTAGTTACAGTTCCCCACTTTATTTTTATTTATTCTACAACAATTAGGATTTTTTCCCATAAATTATGATTTTCGTGTATCACCGAGTTTCTGGATATTTCATTATAGAAATTAAACCCTTTAAACTAAGTACAGCATGCAATACGATAACAATTTTTATGAACACAATGTTGTCTTGTAGTTCTTATAATAAAACGTCTGCATTCCTTATGACTTAATACCATACTGC